ACGCACTCACCAAACATTCCTAAGGAGCCCGGCGCGCACTCACCAAAGCACTAGTTGAAGCCACCCCCACAGCATTCTGATCTCAGGAACACTATGAGACCTCAAAACCCTGAATCCGACAGCTGGGGAAGCACAATCAGTCAACCTCGGTCAAAGCTTAAACCCAAACCCTAAACCGTCACAGCATCCACAATTCCAAAATCCGAACAGAATCATCGTAAGTTGAGCGATTTAGGCTCTGCGGGTTTTATCAGGTTCGCAGCGCGCTTTAGAAGGACTTGGAAAAGTAGAGCGTGTTAAGATTTCGGGGGTTTAAGGCCCGAGTTAAGCGCTCATGATTTAGGATTTGGGTTATATAGGGTTTCGGGTTAGGGGCTCAGATTCTTAGAGCCGTTTCACTCGAGAAACCACCTTGCTGCAGGGTAATATCTGCGTCTACACAGTGGGGAAGCTTTCTCGGTGTAGAAACTATTGACAGGCTCCTGTAGAATTTACGTTTGGCCCGAATGCCTGTGCAGGGAGAGCATGATGTTAACAGAAATACTCCCAAAGCCACATGTGAGGGTCGGAACAAATCGTTGTCATGTCTCCTGACTAGCAGTTGCTATGTGCTTACACTGCAATATGTTGCAACCCTATTCCAAGCGTTATGCTCAGATGATGGAAACCTTACACAACCTGCTGGAAACTTACTGCAAAACCATACAAATCCCGATAGACCTATCAAACGCTTCTTCAAGCTCTATAGTGAAGCCCCTATACAACCCTATGCGCCCGAAACCGCAGACCTTGAACCCTAAACCCCTGACTTACCTCTCAAGAAAGCCTACGTAGTATGCGAAGCCCAAGACTCCACCTCTCAAGCCTACGGACTGAGGCGTGTACCACAAACTCCTACAAAGCTTTACTCTGAACCCTAATCCCCCGACACCTAAAACTTCTATAGGCCCCGGCTCGGGGCCCGGGGCGTGACGAAAATTATATCTCCAAAAGTCTGAGCCCAAAAAACTTCGATCAAGAATGAACACTTGGGAGCTCGCTCGGCTCGACGGAAGGTGGCGCCTGCAAATCGAAAGCAACACGAGAGCAACGTCAGCAACGTGGCAGGTTCGGGGACTCGGGTTCAGAGGTTTGGCGAGTTCGGGGGCTTATGGCGCAATTGGTGCTTTGGCACATATCCTGCAGGTACATGTGGTTGGGGGTGTATAGGAAGAGGAAAAACGGAGCTGGTGTGAGGATTCAAGGCGTGATGAAAGCCTACGCTAAAGTTCATTGGCTAGGATGGTTCCGGGTTTCGGATTTGTGACGTACGATGTAGGAATGCCTGCAGCAGGCAGGGCTTAGCCGTAGAGTTTAGGTTTCGAAGCAGACTCCCGGGCCCGGGGAACTTCACGTTAGGGGATAAAGGGGGTGGGATCGAAGGGTTTGGGATCCCTTGTGGGGTTGGGGCTTGGAGCTTCTAGTGTAATGTGTAATATTTGGGATTTCGGGTTGCGGCTTCACGATCTTGGTTCAATATGTACTTTGATGTACTTTGGGCGTGAAGGTGCGTCTTCCTATGCCGACAGCAACGGGTCCGTGGAACCTTTTTTGAAAGGGGCTGTGGGTTTTTGTTTTACGGGCTGAAACGGCTCAGAAAGCATGCGACCTGAAAGGGCAGTGCTTACACGGATTAAAGGCCGACCAAATCCCGTATGTTCAATGGGGCGTGAGTGAAAAGTATGCGCCGCTGCAGGCCCCCCCATCGTTTGTACCCCACGATTTGGCATGTAATGAATGGACATGTCCGAATCTGGGAGCCAGAGGCTTCTACACAGCGCTGTTGTGGCGCAAAGGGTGCAAAGCACATTTAAAAATGTCGGGCATAAGTTGTACCTAAGATTTCGGATGTTTAGCGACAACAACCTTGAAAAGCCTACATTCCGAACTACAAAGCTCAAATCTCAAATCCCGAAGCACATAGGCACAGACCTCCACCCCACCTCACGCCGAACAACACTGAAACGTAATCAGTCCTACCCCATGCTACACATGGATGACTGTAAACTCCGAATCCTTTATCTCTAAAGTTTCAATCTTAAGCCCCAATCTCCCTCAGCTGTAAATCGCTCGTCGCACCCCGCAGCACAGGTCGAACGGGTTGAGGAGTTGGCCTCGGCTGGTTTTATGTCGACTGCGATCACGCACACGTGTTAGCATTACACGAAGCAGGAGCATCCAACACCATCCGATGCTTTGGAAGTCGCTTACGAACAGTGCAGGCTCTCAGCAGCGTTGTTGCACGAGGGTCCCAAAGCAGAATCAGGGCAGTGGAGCGCAGTGCGTTGTGATGCTGGGTATACCATGTGAAAACTAACGATTCCGTACCTGCCAGGCTGCTCAGCGAGCGAGCTGCCGTAACACGTCTATGCCTTCCTCTATGTGCACTGCCCCAGTCCCTAATTTTGGTTCCCAGTGCTCTTCCTCCCTGCCTCTTGTAGAGTGCCAGAAACACTCTGCTCTGCTTCAGTTTATCTCTTTCGTGTTTTGACTAGCACCGATGATTTTAGCGGTGGCAGGTGGCGGTGGTCGCTTTTTGGGCCCTGGGGCCAGGGAACAGTGCCTCATAAGCTTACTATCACGATGCGCAAAGGCACCGGGATCGTGTGTGCACCAGAGCTGTTCTCTGCAGTTGCATTCCGGATATCCGCCAGAGCGCTGTAGCATGTGCGTATCCTCTTCCAGCATGCATGCCAACACCCAGGTACAACAAGCCGGAGGGCGCAAGCAGGGCCACCTGTCCACCACACAGTCAACCAGGACAGGGACACAACCATGCCAGCATGTTTGCATTAGTTGCACCTGCTACGATCTTGGCTTCACTGCCCGATGCTCTTTGAAACGTCTGCTTGTCCATGCGCAGCTGCAAGCATGCCCGAGCAGCAGGATCCAGAACAGCCCCGGGGGGCGATCAGCCCAACGTCTGGGCTTAGGCCTGATGGCAGAAGGCGCAGGACGTCTGGAGAGATCCCTACTGGTACGAGAACGCCACATGCTCAGTACTTGAAAGACATCCAGGCCCGACAGCGTCAACGAGAACAAGAACAGGCCTCGTCATCGCACCAGCGGCAGCACAGGCCGCAAAACTTCAGGATTCACACAAAAGAGGAACAAGGGGAGCCGAGTGAATCCGGGCCCTGGCGAGATGGAGACAGGGCCTGGGATGACTGGCCGGATGACCAGTGGACCGATGAACACTACTGGAACTGGCAAGGCAGAGATGACGAAGATTGGACCCGAGAAGCGCCAGAATCCACGGAGAAGAAATCCCCGCACCCAACCCAGACAGGACAGCACTGAAAGCCGTGAGCCTACTCCGCCAAGTCTAGAAGGGAGCCAGCCTATGGCCCTGCAGAAGCACAGCGCCCGCCGCCGTTGGAGCGCCTGCGCCGAATAGTGGGCCACCTGGAGACCTTGCCCCCTGCTGGCCTGCCCACCATGCTCGCGGCCTCTCGAAGAAGTGAATAATTACTCCACAAAGATGCACGACGATTTCCACAACGATGCCGCAACAGCTTCGTGGCCCCGAGTGGGCAACTGGAACCTAGCGCTGGTAGGGAGCCTCATGTGCCCCGTTTTACGGTCGAAGTACAACAATCCCAGAAAGTTGGGAGACTTTATGGAGAGCTTCACCGTCAACAGGGCGCGCGAAAAACCGCTGGCTGCCTGGTTCCCACAGTTTACGGAGATGGTCCAGCTCATAGCGGATATGGTCGGTGCGTGCAGTCAACCTGTTTATGATAGCCGCCAGCCTCCGGTGGAACACCAACCCGGCAGAGCTCATCCACACCATCAGGGTTAGCGAGATGGGAGCGACACCTCAACCAGGAGAGGCGCATGACCCCAATCTGAGTCGACTACTACAAGGCGACATCGAACCACGCCACCTGCTCAATCCTTGCCCCTGACCGCATCAAGCCGAAGGATGATGACGGCATAGTGGATGCTGAATCCGAGGCAGAGCCTATGCAAGAGCAGAGCCCCACCTCGCCAGCTCCGATGACAGGGATGCACACCCTCGGGATGTACCGATGCAGTTCTGGCACAGGGAGCCTTATCATGCCCCTACAGACGCGCCGCAACACAGACGCATTGGGGGACGCAGTGTGCGCCAACCTCCGGCCCCTCCAGAGCGCGTTGAGCCCGAGTCCGGCACAACACAATGGAGCACGGAGTGTCACCAAGGGTCCGGGGCAACAGGGCCATGGAAATTTCCAAAGCACTGACTCAAGTGCTGCGCCACGCACTTGGAATCCATATTAGGAGGAGGGTGGTTTGTGCTGATGGGAGGCCTGCTGAAGGCCCCACGATTCTGGAACGAGTGGATGATAAGCGAGGAGGAGGTCGTCGACGTCATCCACTACAACAACAAAAGTCGGTTCCAGGTGGGCCTTCGAGACGGGCACTACATGGTCAGCAGTGGCAGTAGAAGCAGCAGCAGAAGGCGTAAGGCGTTGGAGTAGGTGCAGCAGTGGGAGTGGTAGGAGTAGGAATAGGAGGAGGACTGGTAGTAGGAGTAGTATCAGTAGTACGAGTAGTAGCCGCAGCAGTGGTAGTAGTAGTCGTCGTAATAGTTTACGCAGCCGCAGCACCAATGAAAGACAAAACAAGACATAATGATCGCAAAACCCTGCAAAGCTAGAAACCAAGCCAGCGCAACAAGCATGATAAGCCAAGGCTCGGAAGTTGTTCAAGCCACTGAGGTTGATCTGCATGGCTCGCCCCGACACTTACCGCCTTTAGCTCACGAAGCAACCGTAAGTTCCGAGAACTCCACCTACAACGCAGTGATTCACTAATGGTCTACATTTCATACAACATTTGACAACACTTCTTGAGCCGCAAGCTTGGAAGGAGGCACTGGAATGGTTCATGCGGCGACGGGACTTTGAAACTTTTGCTTTGACTAACAGTCAGTCCACTTTCAATGTTTAGGTTTCGGCTGATACAATCTAAAGAAATCAATTCCACCCCATATCCCGCCTGCAGCAGGACATTGGTGTTCGAGAAGAGTCGCCTCGCTCGAGGTCGGCTTCGACCTGGGCGGGGTATAGGATGTGAGGTAAGGTAGGTGCGGGTTCCGTGTTGTGCTTTGAGGCTGGTGTTGGGTCGGGAGGTGCTCTGTCTTGAATTGTACTTAGGATTGGGCTTTCGGCGGAGGTGCTTTGTGTTTTGGCGCTTTAGCAGAGTGGGTTTTTGTTTCTATTGAATAGGCTGGCAGAGAAAAAAGTGTAGGGGGGATACAAGATGGTGAGCTCCGGGGTCAGCCTGTCCTTGCCCCTACAACCCTGAACACCCTGATGCCTTGCCTTTTTTGAATCTACTTCAATGTGCAAACCACCTCTGGCATGAGTACAGCAGAAGATCCGCAGGAATGCTAAGAGCAGTCTCTGGGTACAGCCGTAGAATCCAAGTGATGAGCCCTACATCCCAAACCCAAAATTTCCTTGAACCTGTAGGCCAAAGACCCCCAAAATCCTTTCCCCCGCCAAGCTGGCCCATAAATCTCTCAAGCCTCACCCCCAGACCCCCGTCGTCAGTGCACCTCGGTGCCTCCGAAACCATCCTTCAGAGGAGTTGCGAAAGCTTTGAACTACACTTCCAAACGCGTTTTCCTGGGCTTACTAGCGTTTGGATTCAGCGCTTTCTAGGGGTCCTTATGCTAAGGATCCCACCCACATTATCTTCTTCTGAAACTCTCAGATGGAGCGGCGGGTTGAGGACCTTAGACTGCTGGATTGCAGCGAATCCGCGGAAACCCGAACGAAGCCCTGAGCCCCAGAGATCCGAGATCTAAACTCTGTTTCAATCCTCTGCCGTCTACGTCCTTCAGTAGAGCGCTTTGGGGCAAGGCTTTCTTGCATGTGTGTTGGAGTTCACTTTGGATTTAAGGGTGGAGGTTCTAGGGTTCGGGGTTTGGTTTGAGCTTCGGGGGGGTGCAGGGTCCGGGTTCATTTAGAGCCCCTATAAAGGTTCTAAGGCTTTCTAAGGCTGAGGCTATGGATCATTTTGCGCCTGTTTGTGGCGATTACACATTATCACCTTCACCTCCTCCTGGCAGATGTGGCAGTTGCAGGTCCTTTGCAAAGTCAGAACGAACATGTAGATACCGAAGAGGAACCCCAATCAAGATCTTTCAGCACCCTCGTCATCCAACCCCAGAACCCCCCTACAGCTGGTTCCTGATTTTCATAAGTTTCAAAGATACTATAGAACCTTATATAAATTATTGGGCCCCTATATCATTGAAGAGTTTCAAATATACCAGAGCCTTACAGAAAGTTTATTGGGGCCCCTACTGTATCATTGAAGAACCTGTACAGCCCCAACACAAACCCCAGCCGGCCTCAAGCACCAAGGTGCTCTCGTTGGCAGTATGCGCAGAAAGGTGGAGCCAAAGGTTTCCTTTCCAGGGAGAAACACACCGGACACGGAACCCCCAATTCCGAAGCTCTATCGGGCCCATGTATGCTTCAAGTCTTCGTGGCATAAGCCGCTGCATGCATCATCGTCTGGATCATCCCTCCCTGCCGAAGAATGTCCTTCTGTGACCGCCTTGCGGAGATTGTGGACGGAGGCGGTCTTCACCTGCGTTGCCGCTGAACCCCTGAAGAGAAAAAGCCTAAAGCCTGAGCGCCCAGGCCAGCACGCATGAAACATGTATATACTATGTTACTGTTACATACCCATAGTCGCTGGAGCCTCCATTCAGATGATCAGTGGCCCCGCACTAAACGCAATGTTCTGGAGGCAGAAAAGTCAAGAGTAGCTCAACTGTGTTTCTGACATATGTTTGCTTAGGTGATCGACGATCTGGTATAAGTATACACCATAGCACACATGGGCTTTAGGGAGTGGGCTGTGTGAGTTGGAGCTTAGCGTGATCCTGAATCTAGAACTATGGACCTGAACACGAAGAGCCCCAGCGTGCAAGCCGATCCGAAGATTCCCTCACCTTCACGTCGACGGCTCCTTGCAATGCTTCGCGTACGGCGTGAACCTGCACTGCAGTCATGGAGCCGGAAAGTAAAAAATCCTGCCGGGAGTGATGTTAAGACTCGAGGTAAACTCAGGGCACAACTATGGCAGCTGCCGATGACCTACAATCCAACATTGACAACATTGACTCTAAAGGAAATGTCATTGCCTCCAGGCCTAGAAGTAACTGTTGTCTTGGTTGTTGGGACTGTTCGACCCTGCATTACGAAGTATTGCTAACTGTTGAACATGTCTCCAGCAAAGGCTAGCTAACAGCTATTGCCGGTGCCGCTGGTTTGAGAAGGTTGCCAGATACCACTGGCCACTACATGGTATCGTATTGGGGGAATGACTTCTCCGAACGACTTGCCAGGTCGCTGCTATGTCAGGAAAAGATCTGCTTTTATGACAAATCTACGATCAGTCTTACAGTCCCTGCAACAGCAGCTGTGTAGTATCATCGTCTTAGCTATAAGCCAACTCTTCTCCTGCTACTACTGTTTCAGCAATGATTGCAAACATGGAAGCCATCAATCTGTCAATCCCTCAGTCTGACTTTCGCAAGCACTGGAGATTCCGCATTGAGGCTCCAAAACCGACAAAAGTCAAGAAGGAACTCCCCTTTTCTGCCTCGCGGTCGATCTTCAGCCGCGGCAGGGGGGCGTACTTTGACTGCCCATTCGGCCCACGCGTGAGTACGCAGAGGGGCGAGGCATGTAGAAAGAGGAGGCGCGCCGGCTTGGCCGCTTTTACCTGCGACGAGCTGGAGCGTGCGCGTGCTCGCAAAACGAAAGCCCGAAAAGGGATTCATCGTTGAAAACAACAATGACCAACACAAGGACGACCATGACAACGACAAGGAGAAGACGGCTTCTCCTCCCCCACTTCCTACTCCTGCAGTTCACACCCTTAGCTCATAGCCAGCAACAGCCTTGGACCCAGAACAAAGATGACTATGTTTAGTAGCCCCCGGGGTTTTCTGCCTCAACAAAGATGAAAAAGAAGCCCAAGCAACACAACACAGACATTATCATCAGCTTGACCATCAAATAGTCATCACCATGATCAACAAGAACTATACAAGCCTGACAACAATCGCAAAAAGACTGTAACCGTCTCACAGCCAATACGGCAATGACTTGACGAAAACGGGGCGCATTCCTCGCCTCCAGGTGCTCGGCATGCTCCGGCAGGACAGGCTGAAGGGGCAGCGCGCCTTCGACGGGACCAGCAAGGACCCGAGATGGCCCGGAGTGCTGCGACGGGCACATGCCATTTCCCCTACCTCTGTGGCTGAATGTTGCTTCCAAACCCTGCTTTTCCAAGCCAATGATATCCTTCCTAGCTTGGGGGTGGGGGGGGGTGCATCTTGCGGGGGTGCACCGGCCATCCTTGCCATTCCCAGGACACACACCACTCCCAACGCTTTTCTTCGCCGCCCATCCCGCCCGGTGCCCAACCTTCGCACATCACACCACAAAGTCGTGCTTGTCCACCTCCTTTGCCTCAGGGCAATGTGACAAGCTCGCACGGCAAACCGGGGCCGGAGATGAACCTAGGACTACTGGTAGCACCAGGAGGAATAAAAACGGAATGAATAACGTCACAAAAAGCGGACCCCTAACACCCGAAGAGCTTCGAAGCGTGAGGGCACGGGGGGAACAGAGTGCGGAACTGCAGGGAGCAAGTCCAAACGCGACCCACCAAGGCCGCTGCGGGACAGCAGCAGCAACTCCATTTGGCCAGCTCTGCGGCGAGCTCTCTTTCGAAGAGGCGCCGCTGCGCAATGGCCTAAGCAACGACAGGAGGTTCCGTCTGGAAGTGTCAAGTGCGTCTGTACCCTGTCCTCCTTGGCGGCGATCTGCAAAGCCTCCACGAAGACGTTGAAGAGCAGCACCGACATGATTCAGCAGGTTACGTTGAAATACTGTCAGATCTCATATGCTTCGATCCATACAACTGCGCTCGCTGAATGCAGCGCATGGGAAGACTGTAAGTCTCACTGTGGCGCTGGTGACCAAGCCGTGTGGGCAATCGTGAATGCTGTCCGAACCCTGATCATGAATGATCACGTGCCTTTCTGCTGCAAGTAGCTTGAGCCAAACGGATGTGGCAAAGTCTGTCTTTCTACGTGACGTGATATGTTCAATATACAGACATACTTCATCCAACCATTGATGCATTCACCAATTGACCCATGCATACATCTATGCATTGGTATCGAATCGACCGGGCAACCCCCACCACCCCAAATTCTGGCTCAAAGGTCATAGTCATGCGCACTGAACTTGGCAGCGTGTGACCTGCACGTAGTGTCCCCGTGGATTTCCAATGTGCACGGCATCCTCTACTTCTCGAGTCTTCCTTTGTTTGCACTTCCCTTCCAATATCAATAGCGATCAACGAGCAGGATTCTGCGCTGCAGTCACCTTCCGCTTTTCCATTCTGGCTCTCGCTGGCAGGCCTACGCTCACCTCGCTCGCTCGCAGGCTGCAGCGACTGCACCGAAGGCGATGCCATTGGCCAACCTGAGATCGCACATGGTCTTGAGCTTAAAGGGAAGGAGCTCGTTTTCACTCACGCCAAAACCAGAACCCATCAGCCCTGTAGGCGCAATCTAAACTGATTGGATTGCATGCTCTGAACCCGAAACTCCGAAATTCTTTAAGGTCTCTGTTTCACATTTCACACCCCGACCATCAGCAAAAGGGAACCCCGATCTGCGTTACCGAGACTCCAGAGCTTTGTCCGAGCTAGTTTTTTAGCACTGCAGGGAAAAGCGCCACTCCTGACAACTGATGGGTCGCGGGTCCTAGAAACACCAAGCCAAGAGCTGTCAAACCTGCCGCAAGCAATGCAGTGAAGTGGCACCCTCCCGAAGAGGCGCATGACGTTTTGCCACTGGCCTCAGAGCAGTAGAGCCAGAGCTGCAGGAGTCTTGGAGGTGCGTCGCTTCTCGCTGCTCTATCTGCGAACTCTGCATTCAAATCTACCAAGTTGGAAAATCCTACCCGATGTGACACCACAACACATCCAGCCTGATGATGGGTCACACATGGCGGCGTTGAACGTTACCGCGTCCGTCCACAACTGCAGCACAGATCCTCCCAAAGAAGAGCTGTACCGACGCCGCAACCGTTCGGCGAGCAGATCACATACACACACAGAGAGAGAGAGAGAGACACACGCCGACACACACACACACACACACACACACACACACACACACGAAGAGCGAACCTACTACAGCGAAGTTTATGGGAACCAGGCAGCCCGGCAACGGCTGTTTTCTGCACACTCACGGTTCATGCAGTCCTTGAGCGAGCAGATGGCTCGCTGGCGTTGCCTGCCTTCTTGACAGGCGTCCATGTCTGCGCCGCACATGATCACGTCGGGAGACCTCAAGTCTCCATCAATCGCAGAGACGGGGAGCTTCAGCACTGAAGTTTCAGCTTCGGGGCCCCAGGGTGGCCTTCGTTGTCTCAAGCAGCACGGTGGCTCGCTGCCACCGTGAAGCTGCATCGCGGACGCTCGTTGCCGTGCTGCAGCCTCGAGAGCTGAAGGCTTGGGCTTGCCGGCTTTCCCCTTCCCCGGCCTCTCTTTCAACATCAACGCTTCGTGACCCTATAACCCCCTAGAAATCGCCCACCCCCCCCCCCTCAACCCTAAACCCTATAACCCCCTAAAACATCCCGCCTGCAGCAGGACATTGGTGTTCGAGAAGAGGCGAAATCCAGAGTCGCCTCCCTCGAGGTCGGCTTCGACCTGGGCGGTTGGGGGCAGAATGTGGAGCCTTGGGAATTTTAATTAGGGTTTAAGGTTTAGAGTCAGTTTAGAGTTTAGGGTTTAGGGTTGTGTGGGGCCTTGGGAATGTGACCTATAGGGTTTAGGGTTTAGAGTTTAGGGTTTGGTGTTATGTAGGGCCTTAAGAGATTGAATTAGGGTTTAGGGTTTAGAGTATGTATAGGGCCTTAGGAGTTTGAATTAGGGTCTTGGGGTATACACCATAATATAACTATTTAGAATTAGGCGCATATGTTATCGGGGTTTACGGCTTACTCAAGGCTTTGTGTGGGGCCAGGGCTGCGAGGTAGAATGTCTGGCTAGTGCGAAAAGGGCAGAACTGCCCTCAACCATACCCTAGCATACTAGAACCCCTGAACTTTGCAAACCATCGATCACTGAGTAGGTTTACCAGACATCTCAGCCGCCTCCGACAGCGCGATGCGGAAGGCATTTCGCAGAGAGCGCCGGCATGCCATGGCAAGGTAGAAACCTCGCGGATAGCGATCCTAACGCTGAATTAGGTCTTTGGTCTCTGCGGAGTTGGGTCTAAAGTCTATAGGTGTCGATTCATGGATCAAGGTCCAGGTCTGTCTCGGTCTCTCTGGCATTCAACTTACTTTGTGGTTCCCTTCTTCCCTCTCTCTCTCTCTCTCTCTCTCTCTCTCTCTCTCTCTCTCTCTCTCTCTCTCTCCACTCATCCTCCTCGGGAGCTCAACTTGTCTCCGCGGTGAGACGCAAAGGAGGATTTAGTGAATCCCGAGGGAAAGCTCAATGTACAGCCCTGCTACTGATTTGGGCGCTGCTCCCAACTAATTTCCGGATGCTTATCATCTACATCATGCATCAGAGTCAAGGGGCTCTTGGCAAAGCGGCTGGCGCAGTGGTCGGTGACAGCTCGATTCGTGTACCTTTGAGAGCGTCTGCAAGGATTCTGGCGCCCACGGTCGCGTCTACCCTTATTGCTTCGTGGGCTAGAAAAGTAGGGTACCCCAGGAGATAGAACCTGTATGTAGAATGCCCGGGCCGAGGTACACGATGTGCTGCACGCCGGCGGAGTAGAATGCTGCAGCAAGCCTTGGATGCATGAATTCGTGAAGCACGCGGGCAACATGCTGCGCTGGAAGTGTAAATCAAACCTACACTAAACCCCAAAACCAACCAAAAAAAACAGTTAGAAACAAATCCTACAACCCCAACCAGCCACCACAGCCCCCCTCCACTCCACCCCGCGAACATCAGAAGCCTCCAACACTCATAAGCTGCTGAAGCAATGGCCAACGTACGAAAATTGCAAAGAGAAACATCTGAAGCCTTAAAGCTCGAACGGTTGAGACAGCGATCCTTTAGAAGATCCAGCTCCTCGTTGAAGATATAAGCCCTGCACTACCCCCGGGCTACAGAACAGTATTCCCAACAGTGCGAAGAGGCGTGTCCGATCGGCAGTTCGACAGGAACCTGCGGTTTACAAATAGGGGCCTTAATAATTAGAATAGGGTTCCTTTGAAGGGGTCTATAAGGGCTATAAAGGCCTATCAGGGATCCATAATAAGAGTACTATAATACAGGGGCCTTAACAATTGGAATAGGCTTTTGGGGCATATTATGCCATAATTGTAATAAGGACCCCCCCAAAACGGTATTGGTTACTATTTCTGCCCCTTTATATTAGGGAGTAGCGAACTGAAGGATCCCTAGGAGTACAGTAACTGTTATAACCTGCTACTGGTCTTGGGTTGCTACTAGGTTTTGCTGAACTCCTTCTTGCCCTCCGCCCATCTTGCCCTAGACGCAATTATGAATACTATTAGGTTTAGGCCTTAGAGCAGCAGCATCCCACTGGAGAGGTAACCCCAAGAAACGCCCTGCAAAGACAAAAAACATTACATTAACACCAACGTGCTGCTACCGGTTGCAAACAAAGCTGAACTGTATGTGCAACACATACAACTTTCCACGAATGCACACACGTGTAGTCATTGACACATTATATGCACTATAATATGTTATACGGTTCGAGACGGTAGGCTGGATCTGCTAAATTGCATTTTTTCTTAGATTTAGCGCTCAGAGGTGGGAGGCTTTAGGTCTGTATTATGCTTCGCCGCAGCGGACTCTCAGGACTGAGTCGGAATTGCATAATGGGTGCTCCAATATCCCTCCGTCTCTCTCTCTCTGTCTCTCTCTCTCTCTCTCTCTCTTCCTCTTCCGCTCTTTCTCGCTCCAGGTGTATGTATATGTATTATATATATATATATATACATATGTGCATACGAAGTGGTTAGTTACATACATACTTGGTATACATATTCATATAGTTGTCTTTACAAAACACTGGCTTCAGCAACTGTCTTACGAGATTGCAGGCTGGGTTACGGCTTAGAATCGGAGAGCCAGAGATCGCTGCAGTGAGATGCAAAAACCTACGCAAACTTCATGAGACCCGCAACACCCACAGCGCCGTCACCATCTCTCAGACGCACGCACGTTCGAAAAGCTTCTCTATCCATTATACAGACTTAAGCCCTGAACCCTAAGGCCCGAAGCCCTCAACCTTTGAACATGGAATCCCAACATCAAAGCCGAAGCACACGAAGAAGGCAGCCGGCGCGCATCTTTGCCCCCACTCCGGAGCAGCAGACCCCCAAAGCATGCAGGGTGAGAGCCTGTCTGGCGTCTAAGGTGTCTGGCCTTCTAAACGAAGCCTGAGTCGGAGTCGGGGCTCTAAGAGTGGATTGGGTTCTGGCTTGAAGAATCTAGGGCCACGGGGTCTGCGGCGCAGGCTTTCCCCCGATGTTGTGGCTAACTACAGTCGGCTTGCGGGTTCTGGGCATGTACAGTTCAGGTTTCCCGTGAGGCAAAACCCGGATGTGGGGATCAGGGTGCTTTGCGCTTTGTAGCTATGTAAGGGTTGTTTTGTTAGGCTGGTTGAGAACTGCATGGGTGAAATGCGAGCCGGGTATAGGATGTGAGGTAAGGTAGGTGCGGGTTCCGTGTTGTGCTTTGAGGCTGGTGTTGGGTCGGGAGGTGCTCTGTCTTGAATTGTACTTAGGATTGGGCTTTCGGCGGAGGTGCTTTGTGTTTTGGCGCTTTAGCAGAGTGGGTTTTTGTTTCTATTGA